TGGTATTTCTTGTATTTCCAGATTTTAAACACTTCTTATGACGTCTTATTCTATATAGTGTGCGCTTACTTGTCTGGTATTGGGGCCAACCTCCACCAACTCAGGAGGAGGACAGGCTCGGATCATTGGCCCGTTCGAAAGCGCTGGAGACGCTGTAGTACATATGCCAGGCCTGTAGATGGTGCTGTTCTCACAGAATCAGCCCATGCAAAGACAGTGTTAAATTGAGCGAAATGAGGAATGGCTAAAATGCATGATCTGTTTGGTATTTTGAAAAATAAAAAGTATAAATATGCCTTATATAGGTATGGTCCTACACTATATTATTCAAATATAGCATGATAGGTCCACTTTAAGCAACTTTATCAGTTATTTCTAACCCCATTTTAACCAGAAACTCCAACAATAATCCAACTTCTGATATGTGACTTTCACACCACCTCGCTCCATGTGCCATTGTTTTGGACCGAAGACCAGTCACCTCATTATCAGTCTACCTTTCAGTACTTCATTCTCAATGTTTACCTATATTCAGCAAAATGAGTCTGATCATGCAGGTACTTTTTTTACACATCTCTTGTCGTGCATTTTTGTCTTTTGGGATGTTATATATACTGTTTTATTTTCTGCTGAGAGCAGTGGAGGAGAAAAGGCAAAAAGCTATACGGGTTAAATAGATGCGTATCACTTGAAATGAAAACAGGTGTATTATTTGTCAAATCAAATACTGACATACCGCACCACTCCCAACCCAGGGAACTTTTCTCTTACTCATACTTTGCTGAATACGCTCTAGTGACTTATCTCTTATCCACAAATGATGTGTCCCACCCTTTATCCAACCCCTCTATTCTATCAAGTTTTTATTTATTTTTTTGTCAATTTAAAGACCTGATATTCCAGGAAAAAAAGCACTGGGTGTTACATTGAGATACTATCCAGACTTTTTGAAATGTCAGTAAGACAAACACATTTATTTTGTATTAGTTGTTTGAAAAAAGGTGTGATTTCATGTCTTTATCTGTAGTTATTATCTTAAAGGTGGGGTAGATTGCTTTGTGATATTGTTGATTGATGGTGAAATTAACGGTAAGTGAGGTCAGAATTCAACACGTGCAGAACTCGTTTGGCCTTGATTTTCTTTCAGATTCAAACGTGAATCAGAATGTACTTTTTTGAGTTACTTCGATACACAATGAAAGTCAAACAAAGAATTTAGCTTCCATTTTAACAAACACACTGGCTCCACTTAGCAAAGCTGGAAGGACAGATTCCTTACTTCAAATATACGTCCCAGCTGAGCAAATACCTTGGAACAAATATCAAGCTTATTTTTAGGACTTTTACTATTTAAATATTGAGCATTTGGGCGGGGTAGCATCAGTGCAACTCTGTCAATAATGAAAATGTCAGGTAGGGTGTAGATTGTTTAAGACCCTGATGATAAGATGTCATGACAGGTCTTTATTTTTCTCACAGTTTTTTTTGACAAACATGAGCATGGGGAGTCCAGGCTGTGAACACACTGCATACTCACCTCTGTACATCAGCCACCCGCACTCTGACGCCCGGATGGCCTGGCTGGACGAGGCGGACGACATCAAACCCCCCCGCAGCTTGTTGGGGCTTCCTGAGCTCAGTTGGACGGGGGTCTACCTCCCCCGCAACAACATATTAGCTATGGAGGAGAACCCCTGGGTGCTGAGGATGACAGAGTCTCCTGCCGCTCCCCCATCCAGGACACTCGAGGTGAGCCAAGCCAAGCCAGGCCAGACTCAGACCCCCCCGTATGAAATGGAGGGTCAGGTGGAGGAGCACTGTCTGGAGCAGGTGCAGACCATGGTGGAGTCAGAGGTGCTGAAGGATGTCGACACGGCTTGCAAACTGCTCAATATTGCACCAGGTAGGCCAGGATACTATATAACATGTGCAATATTATTATTATTAATCATGTATTATGATAACGTGCAATTACGTATCTGCCACTTCGTTTTTTTCACTACTAAATACAGGTAATATTTACATTAATTATGTGACCGTCTATGTTTCATGTTTCCTGTAGATATTTAATTGCTCTTTTTACTGCACTTTTAGTGTACAGTTTTACTATTATGCTGCTGTGTTTATTTTATTTGTGTAACTCTGGCACAACAATTTTCTTCGGGATAAATCAAGTCTTATCTTATCTTATACAATTACTGTCGTTAAAATAAACCAAAAAGAGGCATTTGAATAGCTGTTAGAAAGTGTTGGCAAAAGTTGTAGTGCTGATAAAATGAAAATGTAAAAGCATTCATTGTCTGTTGCTCTCACACCAACTGAGTGAGCATCAAAGACCCGGCCCACCTTGTGCAAACGTTTCAGTTGACAGACGATCATCTTCCCTTCTCATGAACTGGGTCTTTATCTGGAACCTTTAAAACATACAGTGCATGTGTGGTTATTTGCTCTGTAAACATCACACTTCTTCTCAGGAAGTAGGAAACATACATGAGGGTCATCATGTCATTTCACATCATTTGAAATAGTTAGCCAGTGAATTGAGAGTAGCATGATTACATTATCGATAAAAAGATATGTTGTTTTAAATGGTGACGAATAAAGCAACAAATGCCAAGATATTTGACTTTCTGTCCCTTATATGGGTCAGATTTAAGAAAGACAGAAGCATTCATTTCCCATCGTGCAACTAATTGCATCTTTATGATTAAAATGTGTAGTTTGTGAGCCTAAAATGAAAAGTAAAAACATTTAACCTGAAGAAGAATCTTACAAACTGTTTCCTTTAAAGCTGAGTCTTCTTTGACTGA